TACCATAATGTTGAGTAAAAAGAGCAAGTTCCAGATCACTACATACATGCCTGATAATCTTCATAATTTATGAAGCTCAAGAACAACCGAAACTAAACACCACATAATTTAGGAACACATGCCTAGAAAATAAAACCTTTTTTAAAGAAACATAAGCAAATGCTATACACAAAGTTCAAGACAGCAGGTTACATCTGGGAAAGGCAAGGAATGGACTAAGAAAGGATCATATAGATAGGTGGATGCCATTGTTAATATCCGTTCCTTGAACTGGGTGGTGGGTTTACCACCCAATATAATATAATGATAACAGCAGGTCTTGCTTGGACCAAGGATGAGAACCAAGGACTATGATTACTCCAATTCTGTACATCGGATATCCTGTTACGATAAATAAAAATAAAGACTGTCCTCTCAGCTTGACCCTAGTTCTGCTTATTTTTGCACTTCCTCCCACAGCGATGCTGAGGGGTCACTGCAACCTTGCTCTTGGCAATCGAGGTTACTAGCGCAAGGCTGGGCAGGAAATGAACTGGGGGATGAGGCCATATCTGCTTTAACACTGTTCTCGATGGGTCCTTTGTGGTAAGGGTTTCCAAGAACCAGCAGAGCAGTTGAGGGAGCTGAGTAACACTTACAAGAAATGAGTCCCTGCCCCACCCCTAACTGTCCCACCCCATCCTCTCTCTCCTCCCTTTACTGCCTCCAACGCTGCCTAAGTGAAGGGTAGCTCACCAGAGCCAATAGCGAATATTTCCGCGGAACAGAACTGCTTACCCGACTCTCTGGAGTCAGGGGAAGAACTGCCCTGACCTCCATGCAGATCCTGGGCCCTGAAGGAACCTGGAGATGACTGACTAGTCCACCCAAACATTAAGAAGCAGCACAGCAGAGTGGTAATGAGTGTGGACTGCCTGGGCCCAGATTTTAATCTGGCCACTTGGTAGGTATGTGGCCCTTGACATGGTACTTTCCGCTCTACACCTCGGTTCTCCCCATTTGCAAAATGGGGATAAATAATAACATCTCTCTGGTGGAGAGATGTTACAAGATTAAGTTAAGACACACTGCTGGGCACATACTAGGTACTGAATGAGTATTAGCTATTATTGCTAAGTGTTAATGAAAGATGCAGTTGAATCAATGAGACCATGGACTAGTGCAGGAGTTTGCAAACCTTCTTCTGGAACGGGCCAGATAGTAAATATTTTTGGCTTTGTCAGCCATTAAGGTCTTTGTCGCAACAACTCAACTCTGCATTGCAGCATGAAAGCAGTCATAGACAAGTCATCAATGATGCGCTTCATTTAATACTGATAATTGAATTTCATATAATCTTAACCTGTCACAAAATATTATTCTTCATTTGATCTTTTTTTTTTTTGGTCTTTTTTCAACCATTTAAAAATGCAAAGCCCGGTCTTAGCTTGCAGGCTGTACAAAACCAGGTGGTACACCTGATGCATTCAGCAGGCTGTAGTTTGCCAACCCCTGGTCTAAGCGGGGGGGAAAACATTAGCCTCTCTGGATTTCTTTGCTTGATCTGTATGTTCGCCTTACAGGTGAACAAACTGAGGCTCATCTTTCAAAGGTCAGTTGAACTGCTGCCTCTTCTTTGAAGCCTTCCCAGATTACTTCAGCCAAGGGCAATAACAACTCCGTCTGCTGCCTCCTTTGTGACAAACACATATTTGTTCATTATTTTTAAAATTTTTATCATGAAATATTTAAGACAAACCAAAAGCTATAAAGAATAATACCAACACCTTTGTCTTTACCAACCAGTTTGTGAAATAAAGTTGAAGGCCCCTGTGCTGATACCCCGCCCCAAATCACAACCTCCTTTCCTCTTCCCCAGAGGTAATAACCACCGTCCTAACTCTGGGAATTTATTGCCATGTACTTCTTAGTACTTTTACTACATGTAGAAGCATCCCTAAGCAGGAGGTAATATCTGTTTGCATGTATGTACACCCATTATTTAAGTGGAGTTTCTTGATAATCTAATTAAGGATGATCTCTTTTTAGAGATTAGTCTCAGACGGTGTAGTAAGGCCCAAGACATCCAGGTAAGTAATGGTGGTAGGATCAAAGTCCAAGGCTGATTCCCAAATCATGCTCCTAACTATTGCTCCCCTCCTGTGGCCACACAGTCATATTCGTTATCTGACCCCCTTTCCACACTAGATTTTAAATTGCCCATGAGAAGAGTGTATGACCTTTCACCCTTCCTATGCAACCTTAAAATATTGCACCTAATATCTTGCACTGCTCCCCAAGGAGACACTATCTTCTGTCACCCCGGCAGTCTAATAGAGGATAGTGCCAGAAACTCACTTCAAGAGCAAGAAGGGTGGGACTTTGGGAGATTTCGTTAGAAGTTTGGAGCAACTTTTAAGTCAAGTGTTAACTTTACTAGAAAGGATGGGGCATGCAACTCTCATACTCCAAAACATAGGAGTTTCTGTGTGTGTCTGGCTGGGGAAGAGCAAGGGGGATAGAGGAAAGGGGAACTGAGAAAATTAGCCCCCAGAACCAAGAAATCCTTCCTTCCTCTCTGGCAGCCACTTGGGGGACACATGGGGGCCAAGCGAGGGTTTGGGATCTAGTCCAAGCTTAAGGGTAGACGATGAGGAGTGAGAGGTATTGTGGCCTGGACCCTCGAAACCACCTGACAAGACAGCATCTGGGCCAGTGTCCAGAGGGTGTGCGCGTGAACCGAGGGGCGGGAGCAAGGTGACCTACGGGGATGGAAGAATGTTTTAGACTGCTGCTGCTTCTTCTAAAGGAACAAGAAACCGGTATTTACAAATCCTTGATACTCTGCTCCAGTGTGCTTTTGGTTTATCAGGATGTAGTCAGGCCACGTGCACTAAGTGGATTCATGGGTTCTACCATCCAGTTTAAACTAACTCAAAATGAACAAGGGGCTTAAACAGATCCGTGCAAAGAACTCATGACTGAAAATACTAATTATCCCAGCACAAGCAGTAAGAAAATGGCGGAGCTAATATTTCACCTACTCTCATAAGCCTCTTGTCAACCACATTGTAGAGGGAAACTCTACTCACGTAAAAAGGTACATTTTCCACACATTGTTGTCAATGACTAAACCTCACGCTGAAGGCGAGGGGAACTTGAATCAGGAACTGAGAGTAACGCAAGTGTAGTTTCCCAGTAACCTTAACACGCATCAAGGGTACGTGCTCAAAATGTTTTACCGGTGGGAGACTATTGGAAAAAGCTTCAGCTGGTGGTCAGCCTTGTCCAATGGAACTTTCTGCAATGATCGAAATGTTCTACAGTTCCACTGCCACTAGTCACAATGGCTATTTCATAAAATCTACCTAGTGCTGGGAGATAGCCACATAGGCCATATCAGTGCAGCTCTAGAACTTGCCTTGGAAACAGGCTGGGATTTCATTGGGCCCCTCCAGCCAAATCTTGTCTACATAAAATTGGCTCCTTTTTGGACATATATTCACAAAGTTGGCTATCTCAGAAATCCTACTGAAGGAAACCAGATTTAGGCCAAAAGATCTTTTTCCTCCCAGGACGTGTTTGGCACTTATCAAGTATTCAGTCAACACACATTGGCATGTCTCTGCATGGACAACACTTGAGCCACAAAC